CCAGTACCTATGACGAGGGTAAATCTCCCCCTCCCCCCCCCAATGTAGACACAGACACCCCCTGACTGTCTTTGTGTCTCAGACACAGTGGTCACCAGTACCTATGACGAGGGTAAATCTCCCCCTCCCCCCCCCAATGTAGACACAGACACCCCCTGACAAGGGGGTCTGATCCTTTCCAAGGTTTTAGAAATATCTACACTTTCACACTTTCAACACATTCTCCCCATTCTGCTATCTAATGGGACGACGCTATTGGCAGTTCAGGAACCCCCATGGGGATCGTTGGATGACTCCAAAGTCAGAGCGGATGCAAGGACTGTGTACTTCGTAGGGAATACTCCGAGGCCTCCCGTACTGAACAGAAGAGGATCCTGTTCCAGAAATAGGTAGTAGGATGAAGCGTCAGATGTCAAGTGGCTGTTACTGAAGAAAGATTTGGACTTGTGTCCGGCGCTCATACCTTTTACTTGCCCCTGTTCTATCAAAGTTTGTGACTGCGTTAGAATGTGTGACCAGTCACGTGGTCACACATTTTAACATAATCCCGCCCACTTTTTCCTGCACATACCATCTGCAATGCCGATCTGCCCTGGAACAGCTGAATTCTTCATCCTTGGCCGGTCACATATTCCACCGCTGAATAAGTGGGCGGGAATTATGTTTAAATGTGTGACCACGCGACCGGTCACACATTCCAACCCAGTCACGATCTTTGATAGAACACCCCGTTAATTCCGATAGATGAGGACCATACTCATTATCTACACAGCCATCTACAGTAAACCAATGGGGAGAGATGTGTCCATGTTCAATGCATGCTTGGCTTGGCCAAGACCTATATGTAATAGAAGTCTGTGATCAATGAAGAGCCATGAACTAAGCCGCCAGCAAGATCCCAAAACATGAGGGACTACAACTCCCAGCTTCCCCTACCTGGAAGGTCATTTTGGACTGCATTCCAGGAGATGGTTCTCTGTCTGCAGAGCTCAAGGAAGCATCTCCCGCACCTTCCCACGAGGCGATCACCTGCAATGTAGTCATAGCCGACTCCACCAACCAGAGAGAGTTCTGTGTGATTGGCTGGAACACCCTCCCATGCAGTCACGCAGTGCCCATCCCATGCAAGTGCCCATCCCATGCAGTCACGCAGTGCCCATCCCATGCAAGTGCCCATCCCATGCAGTCACGCAGTTCCCATCCCATGCAAGTGCCAATCCCATGCAAGTGCCCATCCCATGCAGTCACGCAGTGCCCATCCCATGCAGTCACGCAGTGCCCATCCCATGCAGTCACGCAGTGCCCATCCCATGCAAGTGCCCATCCCATGCAGTCACGCAGTGCCCATTCCATGCAAGTGCCCATCCCATGCAGTGCCCATCCCATGCAGTCACGCAGTGCCCATTCCATGCAAGTGCCCATCCCATACAGTCACACAGTGCCCATCCCATGCAGTGCCCATCCCATGCAGTGACACAGTGCCCATCCCATGCAGTCACACGGTGCCCATCCCATACAGTCACACAGTGCCCATCCCATGCAGTCACGCAGTGCCCATCCCATGCAGTCACGCAGTGCCCATCCCATGCAGTCAGACCTCTGGCCGTCCGCAGCAATTTCTTACATTTGCACACACATGGTGATAAAATCTGAATTTCTGGCTAGAAAACAGCTCCGGACCCCCAAACAATGATCTATGTTCTGAAAGCGGAGGCACCGTAGGATAAAAAGATGCTAGTTGCAATTTTTTATGCCGCGTGGTATTTGAGCAAATGTTTATCAAACCAGTATCTTTTAGGATAAAATACACCAAAATGAAACTTAGTGCACAGAAACAGAAAATAATGCCCAGATTTTTGGGTAAAATATAAAAGTCGGGGTCACGCCGGGTAAATAGATACCCAACATGTCAAGTCTTAAAATTGCGTGCGCCCGTGAAACCGCAAAAAACAAAAACCTACAATTACCAAAATTTCCCATAGGCGACGCTTTAAACGCTTTTACAGCTCCACGGTTTAGTGTTATCGACGATTGATGGGCCGAGAATGATTGCTCTCACTGCCACGCTCGCGGCGATATGTAACATGTGGCGCAATTTTCGTTTTTGTACGTAGGCACGCATCCGAGACGTGTTTGCGTTGGTATGTGCACGTGGGGGGCGGGGGACTTTAAAAAAAAATTGGGGGCATTTTTAATTTTTTGTACATTTTATTTGTTACTTTGATTTTTACAATTTTTTTTGTTACATAGTATTTGAGGTTGAATAAAGACATTAGTCCATCAAGTCCAACCTATTAGGATCTCATTCTAGGAGTACCTGTTTTTTTACAAAACTTTATTGCTAACGTATGGGAATAACAAGCCCCCTATGTAATAGCAGATAGGGTGTGACAGGCAGGCCCGGATTCCCCACAAGGCCACCGAGGCCCGGCATTAGCGCGGCAGCGTCTGTGGAATCCCCCGACGCCCGGAAGCCGGCGCTTGTTCCTCCCCCCGGCACTTACCTCTCTCCTCACCGGCTCCGTCTTCCGGGCTCCGATTCTGTGTGATAGCAATAAAGTTAAGTGAAAAAAAATAAATTGATAAAAAAATTAATTCCATAAATAAAAATAAGTAGAAAATAAGTAATAATTAAATAAAAAGGTGATTAAAAAGTATAAAACAATAAGAATTTTGTTAAAAAAATATAAAAATAATTGTTAAAAAATAAACTAATAAGATAACACATTCTAAAAAATAAAAATGCAAACGATAAGATAAATAAAAATTTAAAAAGGTAAAATAAAAAATATAAAAAAGTGATTATAAATGTAAAAAATAAAATAAAGAAACAAAAAAAGAATTAAAACTAACCCTGCCGCCCCTGCCATCCGGTTGCCATTCTCCATCGATGGATAGACAGACGGATGGATAGACGGACGGGTGGATGGATGGAC